TGAACTCTGGTACACTGAGAGGAAGTAGGACCAATGTATAAAGAAGTTAAAAATGGGATTCCTTATGGAAGAGATCAAGGTCTAACCCATGCCAGGAGCCACAGCCACCACTCCCTAGTAAAGCACAGGCTGGCTGCTGAGCTGAAGCAATACTCCAGGTCCCCACGAAGAGCTCCTGAGGTGGCAGCCCAGTGCAGGCTGCCAGCAGCAGGATCAGTCCCCACAGCTCCAGCTCCTCAGTCCAGCACCACAGCCAGAGCTTTTTGCTGGGTTACATTTCAGCCAGCACACACCTCAGTGGCAGGAGCACAGCAGGGCTCCCGCTGCTGCCAGCCACCCCCCCAGGGACCCCAGTGTCCCTGCCCTCCAGCACCCCCCCCACGGTTCAGCCCCTGCACACCACACGAGAACAACAAATAACTGACAGAGGAAGCGAGTGATGGCTCTGATTCCACAGCCATGACACAAACTGCCTCAGTGCCCTGTCAGAAAGCATCTTTCTCTGCCAGAGACACAGAACACCGAACGGGAAGCTCTGCAAGAGGAGAACGAGTGACAGCTGAGGTGAGCACACAGACCAGACTCGGCAGTATTACCTCCAAATATGATAAGCCAACAAAGGCATATTGAGACCCAGCGTAAGCCACTCTGCTGCACAGAGAAACATAACACAGAAGAATGCATGGATGAGGTACTCTGGAAGTACAAGCTGGAAAAGAAAAACACGAGTTAGAAGTTTCCATTACTCCAAACAAGGTGGGTGGCGTTTAATCTATTTTGGAGGTAAGCTATTGTTTGTTTTTTTTTTTTTAAAAAAAAAACATCATTCAGAAACAACACTAACAAGAACAAGACTGCAGAGAGTGAAAACGGCACTGGCAGCACATGCCTTGCTGTTTTCACAGGGGACTCAGGAACCAAGGAGAGAAACGTATCAATTTAAATGCTCAGATCAGTAATTTAGGAGAAGCAATAAAACCCCCTAAGAGCACTGTTAACAGACCCCACGCTTCATACGTGACCTTTGTAGCAGCAGAGATCACCCAGATATTTCTGCTCATGCAACACAGAAATATCAGTAGGAAACATGCTCCACCTAACAGCTGAGAGGCAAAATGATGGGTTTATGTTTTCCTGCTTCACAGCTCTGTTTTGGTATTCACACATCTGTAATTTCTCCAATTCGGCCTCCTGCCAACACGTGAGATCCAGGGCAGAGCTTTGAGGGCCTGGCACCAACAGTAACATGCAGCCCAGGGGTGTGAACCAGCCTCCTCCTCCTCCCCCCCCAGCACCTGCCGTGCATGCAGGAGCCTCATGCTGCCGGCAGGAGCCCCGGAGCCAACTCCCAGTCTACCAGGACGCCAGAGACCTCGAAATGCCAGGTGGTGTTAGTGTGGTTAAAGGGAACACGACGGGGGAACACAGAGCAGATGCATGCCAAGAGCCAGCAGAGTCTCAGCCCCACCACACTCTCAACGCGTTCCCTAACAGGTCACCCCAACACGGCATCAGTCACTCTGTCACCCCACTCAGAGAGAAAAAACCTGTCAGCTTCCAAAACTCCTCACCTCAGGCCCACTGAAACACCTCCTCGGGTAAAAACATTCCCTTTCTACCCAAAGATTTACATCATCTGTGTGCACACCCCCCACACTGCACCCCTCTTTTTGTGTGATGTGACTAACGTTGCACAGGGTGACTGTGCTGAAGTTTCAGTGGTCTATAAGAGTTTTTCACTCTAAGCAAATTCTTCTTTTAAACCCCAAAATATCTTGCTAGAAATCTAAAAACTGACAAACAGACATTCTTCCCACCTACTTTGCTACATAAAGAGTATCAAACAAAGCAAACTTGTATCAGCATCAATAAAAATAAACTGGCATAAGAGAAACGTTTCAAGTAAATATTTTCATCCAGATCCTTCTTTGTATACTTACCATTTACAACCTGGCAATTATTTATAGTACAACCACCACCCCAAGCAAAACAACACGTGGCAGCCTGCTGAGACCCATTTACCAGGTTTGAAAATCTGTAGTTTATTTAACTACGAGTCGTCTCAAAACACCTTTTCCTTGGTTATTTCAGGCTACTCCCACACCAGAGTGCCTGGCTCTTTCAAATCTGCCACACACACACACAAATCTCCCTGCCTGACTAAAGGAAGATTAATGACATCATATTCTACCATGATATTTATCAGGGAAGCGAGGGAGGAAGAAATCTCCTTGCTGAGAAGAGACACGACTATAATAAGAGCAGGGGAGAGAAGGCATCAGTGTACTAAGCAGTTACTATTTCAGGCTCATCTTTCTACTGAGATGTCTCTGTCCCTACCAGGATTTTTGATTCTTTGCACAGGAAAACACCACTTTGTTGTGTTTGTCCAGCAGCGTTTCCCAGATCCCATCCAAAATCTGGATCTGAACTTCGCTTTCAGCGGCCGGTCGACTCCCCCACGGACAGCAAATCTGAAGTGATTTGACATTTCCAGTTCATAAAGCTATCCCATAAATGACCACTACATGCACGTGGGTTGACAGGGGTTAATATTTGCGTTAGACATGCGCACCAGAAGACTTCAAAGGCTGTGGTAAGACCGTAATGCATCAATGTGATGAGAATTTGCCTCCCCCATTTTTGAATGACCGTAGGGCAGACCAAGCAAGGGAAACTGTTAGATGCACAGTGATTGAGCAGCAAACCTCACTGCCTGCTGTGCAGCCCCCCTGCCTGGCACCTCTCCTCTCCCCACGCTTTAACACTCCCTGTCAATTTACATCCCATGGCCTTTTTTCCCCTCCCAGCTGCTGTAAGTTCAGTTTTCATTTGCCTAATTTACTTAACTCTTCAACCCCCAGCCAAGTTCCTGTCCAGGCTGTGCTGCCCCTGCGCTCAGCCTCAGCCTGGGCACACCAAGCCAAAATAAAAACCACCAGGAACACACAAAAACCTGCTGTACCAAACCATCTGCCCTTGAAGAAGCATCCCTTTTATTACTGGCCTGTCACAGGTAAAAGGTTGCCTCAAATTCTTTTCACAAAGCAAGGAGTGTCAGAGTTACATCCAAGAGAGGCCACCAAGACACACCACTTCTGGGTTTCATGTTCCAGGATCAGAGAGGATAACATCTATCACATTATACCCACCAAAATCCTCAAACAAGGCCAGGATTTACTCAGTCAATGCTTAAAAAAAAACTAGTCTCCTATAATCTCAGAGTTCAATAAATCTTGCTGGAAAAGGACTATTTGTTTCTATTTGGAGCTACTCCAGCTCATGGATAGGACATTAACAGGCATTTAACAGTTTTCCCCACTTCACTAGGTAAGCAAGCAGAACTGTTTGGCACAAAATATGGAAATCCAAGAGGTTGTTACAAACCCCAACAAACAAATAACGAGCAGATGAACAGGCAGACTAAACAAAACAGCTTTAAGAGTATTACAAATGTTCCTAACCAAATGAAAGGGGAGCGGAATTAAAAACGTTAAACTGAAAAAGCAGTACACACCTTTAATGCAATTTTGACTCTTTTAATCTTTTTGACCTTTTCAACTGTCTTTGTGCCGAAAATGTAGAAAGCAGATTGAAAGAATGTTAGTACGACAGCTGACAAGATCACCAGCAGATTAATAACAGTCAGAATATTCAATGTGTAAGTTACGAATCAAAGTATTTCCCCTAAAACTTAGGTTTTGTCAACCCAGATGCAACTCTATTGCCTGGTTTGGTTATATCAAAGTAACAGCAAAAATATGCACTTGACATTTATTTAAAAAAAAATGTTTTGCATGCTACTTACAGGATTGAGTGTATTACACTGGTCTATGGGATTCTTGTAATCAGTCTTCAGTTCATCAAATGCTATAATCTGGAAAAGCAACACAAGAAACAGTTGTGATTCTTCAGTCCACCAGCACCAACATATTTTAACCATGAAAAGTGACATTTTGGCACAGAGCCCTAACATTCAACTGCTGCCATCCTCTCCTGGAACATAATTTCTCCTCAGTAGGTTCTGTTATAAACCCACAAGTAAAACACATTTGAAACAGATTATACAAACAAGAAAGTAGAAGACGCTTGAAGCACTCAAAGACCTCTGCCCACACTCTACCACTGCACCTCTCCACCAGCAACAGATTTCCAATGTCCCTTTCAGCAGCCTTTAACCCCACTTGCTGTGCACAGACCCTAGACATCACAAGCAACTCTCAATCACCAGCAGGAACCTGACAATTTGTTAATCAAGAAAAAACAACAGCCGCCTTAAAAGCAGCCAAACGTTTAGTCTCATTACCCTCAAAGTAAACACTGACCCTGCATCATTATCCACAAGATGTATCCATAAAAAGAAAAATAAAAAAATCTTTTCACGCCATGAAAGTTCCACAAAGATACAACCTGAAATACAAGAGAAGCCACTTCTACAGAACAACTATCACACCAAACATTTAAAAACTCTTAAGACAGACTGATCTATTATTGGTATGAGATTCATATATACTCAGTATAAGCCCCAAAATACTTAGAGAACAGGCCTGATATCACAACAGAACAGTTTCTGTTCAGAATAACTATGAAGCTTGAAAGAGCGCCAAGAGCAACATCCTCCTCACGTCCTCTCCTGGAGCAGTCTCACAGCCCATCCACGGCAGGCTCCTATTTGGCTCTTTCAAGCCAGAAAACTCTCAAAAGACTAATTATAATTTAAAAAAGAATCAAAAATTAAATCTCAATATAAAGCATGAAAGGAATGCAACACGTAACCCGTTATTTCTTTTAAATCAGCAGCCGAGTTGACTTCAGACGAAAACATTTTCAACCGCTATTTTAAAAAGGCTGCACTTCTTTGAAGCAATGCTGAGGGAGGTTGTGTGTAGCTTCTGTCGGCGCTTGGAAACTCATTTCAGGCGCGGGCAGAGGAGCACGGCCAGACTGCACCTCCCGCAGCTAACGGTGCAGGCGGG